CCACAGAGAAAAAAATATTTCAAAACATTAAAAGAAATGAAGCATTGTCTGTTTTTTCCTGATGATCCCCACGGTGTTAAAGATATTTTCTCATATCTTACAAGTTCTGCAGCACCTTTCCCCCTGCTATTTTGTATTGTATAATTAGCATATAATTACATGCTCTTTTACACTGGAGAGGCTATTCTTTTATTAATGACTCTAAAAAAAGTTCCTCACTATTTATCTTTGAAAGTGAGTTTAAAATAAAAGGCTCACATGACTTTTCCTTTCTTTTTATCTTAAATCTTAAAGGTACTGCAGGAGATACTTTTGCATGTCATAGATGCTCCTAATTTTTCTCCTTTAGCACGAGAAAGAAAAAAAAAGAAGATTTGGAAACAGATGTTAACGTCTTCTATGCTCTTGAGACTAAAGGGGTTTGAGAACAAAAATTTGATGTTGTCTCAAAGGGTATCTGTTCCTTGTCTTCCCTCTTTTCTGGGACAGAAAATAGGTTGGAACAAAAACAAAGCTGTCTGAGCCGAGCATGAAGGTAGGAGCAGGCATAATTCACATTTGTAGTAAGGCCAATGAGGCTCCAAAGTAGTCAGATGAACACAGCCAGCCCTGATTTGTAGTCAGTTCTGGAAGATGCCATTTCTCTCTGCTGAGGCCACGCACACTCCACCGCTGGATTTGGCTGACTGCTCTCCCTCCACTGTGAGACTTGCCCGAGCATTCCAGATTGGATATGGGCAATTATAAGGGAGGGTGGACATTACTGAAATTTTTAATCCTTTCTCCAGCCATTTTGCTTGCAGTGAAAAATCCCATATGACCATCATATTTTGCCTTCCAAACACATATATAGCTTTGGGCTGAGAGCAGCTTGCAAGCTACTTTGTAACCTTTTCCAGTTTTTCTTCTCAGCATCCTTTTGCATCCAGAACCTGCCAAATCAGGGATAATGACTTCATAGGACTCTGGCAGCCCCAGCTTCCTTATTCAAGATTGTCAAGTAAACAGCGGTAGCAATGAACAAAATAATGACTTACGCTTCTTAACAATAGTATAACTACTTATGCATGGAAGAAATCACCTCTGTCCAATACTCATTCCCTGGGTAGTACTATTGTGCCCCAAACTATCTAAAGGATGTTTTTTTCTTCCCTCACTTTTTTACAATATTTTAATGGGAAAGGCAGAGCTCATGGCATTAAAAACTTTGACTTTTTAATGGCAATATGGCAATATTTGACGAACTTGTTTTGTGAATTCAACCAATACTCATTCTTATTTGTGCAGTTTTGACTAGCCAGATAGACTATCACAGTATTCGGTTAATTGAAAGTATCTAAGTGTGTCCATGTTTTACAAGTTTTTTTTTTCCTTAGGATTGGAGAGATAGCTCAGTGGTTAAGGGCATCCACAGCTCCTACAGATAACCAGAACCCAATTTGGGTGACCCTACACCTGTAACCCCAGCTCCAGGGGATCTGATGTCCTCTTCGAGCCTTCTCAGGCATCTATGTTCACATACCAAAACAAACACACATATAAATACACTTAAAGAAAATTTTAAATTATTAAAATGCAAGAAAAATTAAAATATTTACTTAAAACAATTGAGAATAAAAATGGTTCTTATAAAAGAAACAAAGGGAGAAATAGTTTACTTTGATAAATCAAAAAGTTCCTTCTTTCAAGTCATTCTCTATTTTCCCTTATTATTTTCTTTCTAGAATTAGAATCCTAGCCTCAGAATCACTAGAGATCTTAGAAGCAATTCAATCTAAGCACCTACAACTGTATTAACCCAAGACAGATGATGGGAACTCACTTCTCCCTTGGGCACTGGGCAGATGTTAAACACTGATAAACACCGTTAAAGTTACTGCTAGTGTTCAAAATAAGTCCACAAAGTTCTTACTGTAAACCTGGCTTCTGATGTCCATTTTCCAGTCAGCGGAGATGATGGAGGCATGGAGCAATCTAACTCCATAATTTGCAGCTATTGGGCTCATTTTTGCTGCCCCGGCCTCCCTGAGCAACAGAACCAGTTGGATCTCCCTTCTGCCACTACAGGTACCAGCTGTTGGATTAACCCTCAGATGCTTTAAGAAAACGACATGACAACTATAGATCATTTCCCTGGCACTAGAGACACTGTCAGTGTGGTCTGAAACAATTTTCTATCAGATTTTGTGTTTTCACAAGTTTCCAGGAACTCTAGACGACCCTGCAGAGGAGGACTTAAGCCATCAACCTATCAGAGGGACTAGTATGATTGATGTTAAGAGACAAGGCTGCAATTGGTTCAAAACATAAGCATCAATGACTGTGTTGGGTCCAAACACCAGGGCTATATAAGCTTGCTTCTTAGGCTCACTTATTGAATTGGCTGAGAAACAACTCTCTGAGCTTCCAGCCCTGCTGTTACATCCCATTCAGTGTGAGGCTTTTCTTGAGTAGTCTTTTCTTGTCTACTTTCAGTAGTGAAGGTTGAGCTGGTAACATGGAGAAAGAAGCAATAGAGGCAGATGAGCAATGGCAATGGATGTGAAGCACAGAGGTGGCCAAGCAGTCCGGGTGGCAGTTGAGTTGTAGAAAGGGGAAGGTGGACATTTGACTGACAGCTGGGGAAGCAGTTTGGGCATTCACAGCAGAAAGATAAAGGACAGAAAGGGAGACATAGAGGAAGAGGAGAGGGGGGAGTAAGAGAGAGAAGGAGAAACTAAAGAAGGATAAAACGATACAAGGACACACAGAAGAGAAACTCAAGGCTGGCTTGAGTGCTGTGAACAGTTGAGGGCTATTTGCTTCTGCTCCTGTCTGTTCCCACCTGCCTATGGTCACCACTTGTAGCTACCAACTATAGACACAACAAAAGCTACCAGGGACCTGGTCTTCGAAGAGCTTCCTGCTTGGCTACAGTTTTTTTTAATCCCAGGACAGCAATGTAACCCTCAGCCTGATGATGGGTGACAATACATTCTCTAAGGTCCTCCATTGCCAGCTCTTCTTAGTGAATAAATGAAAGAAAACCAGAAAGTATTGTCCAATGACATGTAGTGCCACACTACTAAAGCAAGCTATGGGGTCTAGATGTGGTGTTCCTGCCCAGAACCACTCATTCTTTTATCGGTCTTGTTTCTGTGTATTGGAGTAAGTTCCATGAAGGTGAAGCTCAGTATTAATTTTGGATTACTGAGAGTTGGCCAACAGGGAAAGAAATGACACCCTCAGAAAATAATTTTTTTGAGAATTTCAACAGCATTGTCTTGACCTTTTCATTTCAATGATCCAGAAAGTTAAATATATTCTTAAAGGTCTACCTCATATAAATAGAACTGTAGGAAAATTTAATCATTATCACTTAAGAATATAATAAATCATATGTTAAAATTAAGTTATAGTTACAGATTAAGGGATCAATTTTGAGAATCAGGCTGTGGGGCTGAATCCTGGTCCCTCAGTTAATTACCATTATGACCTTGTGAAGTCACTTAACTTTGTGAAGTATTGGTTTACTCATCAGTAAAATGGAGACGAAAATATCATCTTTGTGGAGCTATTAAGTGGAGTAAATTAGATAATGTATTTAAAGTGCCTTGTTCAGTATGCAGCATATGTTTATGGGTCCAATAAATGTTAGCTTGCCCTTGTCCACTGAAGTAATGAAAACATGGAATGGCTGTAGAGAGCTCACCTTTTTTACTTACTTCTCTTATCAATGTGTTTCAGAATCTCAAATCTTTAGCAATTTCCCATTAGTCTTATTTCTACTAGTATGAGGGGAAAATAATTTCATGGTAATAAATACCTTACAAGAAAATTTTATATTGGCAAAATGTTAACAAATCAGAATGAATGAATTAGAACTTTTACAAGCCCACTGAATAATAAAATTATCTTAACTGATCATGTACTTGGCATATTTTTGGAAATATTTCCCAAAATTTAGCCAACAAATTAGAATCAAGAATAATTGGCAAAACAGCAAAGTATGTTTTTTATCTGTGCTATTCAAAACATGGACACATCTGTATACATCTAGCATCAATACATTGATGACATTAATTGACAGGGTAGAATTTGTTGGAATGACATCAATTGAATAATTACTTGAAGACACTCAGAAATTAAAAAAAACTTTCATGTCAAATAAATATTATTATCTAGCTTGGTGTTACTTTTTATAAAATATGCTTATACCATTATTTTGTTTTATTATTCTATTATTCAACTATAGTCAATTGCCAACTTTCCTTCAAAGAAAATTGAAAAATATAAAATTTTAGCTTTTAATTATACTTGTAATTATATATAATTATATACAACTTTTACTTATATATAATTATATTTAAAATGGAAATTAAATTCTTCCAGTCCAGAAAATTCATGTAGTCAATGGGGAAATAAAAAATAAAATGACTTCTCATCCCTCTCCCATCTTCCAGCAAAGTTCTCCCTGTCCTAAGCATTGTTTTACATTGATCCTGAGATTCTAAATTGCCTTTCCATTACCCATTGCAATGACTACAACCCTTAACCCTTAGGAAACTAGTTAATGGTCCAAAGCTTAGGAAGATCAAAACAATCATCACTTTTACAAAACAGAGAGAACCTAAGTTGTAAACAGATATGGAGCCATATGTAAACTATTCAGTCTTTTTCAGAATTTATTCCCATAACTCTTCAGCTGATGTGAATAGGGATTGTGGCCAGTTGTCTGCCATTTAGAATGCATCCTGATGGGGGTAGGGGGTGTTCATGTTGCTGGCAATATCTTATGAAGAAACAGTGCTCATTAACCAGAAAACATGGAAATGGATGGTATTTGGTAGAAGGTGATATTCTGAAATAAAAATATGCTATGGACAAATGAATGAATGGGAAATTCACATTATATAAAACTATACTCTCATTCTACAACCGCCCCTTCAGATACCACAGCGCATGTCCTGTTCTCCACTAATTCAGAGATCGCCTCCATCCCAGGCTGGCTGTCCACTTACCCTAGTTGTTTTCACTTTATTTCCTGATGAACAGCTCCATCCTTTCCGATCTGGAAGGACTTTACACTCCTCTCCCTCCAGACACGGCTGCATATGACACCACCATTTCTGTTCCACTATGGATGCTACAAGGAGAGAGAAAAATCAGCTCAATATTTCTATTTGGGATTGCCATGGGACAAAATTCACTGATCTAGCTAATATAGTTTGTATTTTCAAGAACGTTTTCTTATATATAAAATTTTATTTTACCACAATAAGGACATATGGGATATATAATATTAATACATGTCTAAATGTTCAACAGAAAGTAATAACTTTACTTACTATGTTGAAGGATGTTTCAAGCGAAAACACAGACTTCATGAGACTAATATATTGAAAAGCCCTGCACCGATTTATATAAATACGTAATAAACTATACCCATGCCCAGATGAATCAGTATTTTAAAGTCAACAAAGCTGCTACCCCATGAGCAAGCTGAAAATCAGGAGAGTGTATGTAGACTTAATATGTTTTTCTCTTTCTCTTTATTATAAACAGTAATTTCTTCACAAGGAATAGGCCACATAAAACAGTTACTGTTTATGATGTAACAATTACCAGCCTCACACAAAGATTTATAATCTAGTATAATAATACGAACTATCAAACAAGGAAACCAATATTTACGTCCATCTCCATTGAAGTCATTTTATGTGAATTTTATCTGCAGCCAGTGATTTGTGTACATGGTGTTGACTTTTTTTTTCTCTTATTCTTAAAATAAGAGAAATTCTTAAAATTCTTAAAAACTCTGTCCAGGGATTTTGAACACACATTACTTAACCCTCTATAGCCATCTTGCATTTCCCAAGTAATTTATGCATCTGCTATCTACCAGGAAATCTACATTTCATGGCAACAGTATCAGAAGCACACATTGACTGACTGGAACCTCGTTATAATGCTGTTGTAACAGGACTATGTGAGATGTGATTAACCCTAGCTAGAGGTATTTATGTCACCCACAAAAAAAGCCCCCAAATCACTTCTTTTCTGCCATGTGATTTACTGTGTGGCCCCCAGGGAGTGACTCCAGTAGATAGCATTATAGGGGGGTTCCAATCCTGACTATGTTGTTACGATGAGCAATGGAAGAGGTCGCACCATCCACACAAGATGGAGCAGCTCGTGTGGTGCCTGCCACCTGCCCAGGGAAGCAGGAACACTTGACCGTTTGGGACCGCTCTTCTATCTTGTTCTTATTACAGCATCTGTGCAGGGCCACCACCTCGCAAGTTCCCGTTTTAACATGGTGAGCTGTGCAAACAGAAACAGAAGATTAAAAACAATGTTGAGAAAGCTTCGGACACTTCTTTTCCTGTTTTTAATTAGAAATACAGTGAACACAGCTCTATAATGAATCTGCCATGCATGGAACCAGAAACACAATGATGTTGACTCCATAATGCAGATTTTATTTCTTTTCTAAATGTGCTGAGACCATTTCTGTCAGTAAATGCTTGGTGAGGCAGGAACAATTAGTGATGAGATTAGAATGAGCTGTTACAGGAATCTGAAAGATAGAAGCAATCTGTGGTGCTGTAAAAAACATATTTATTTGTGCATTTCATACCTGTCTGTTCAATCTGCTAATCACCAGAACGTAAACCCCCTGGAGGTGGTGCCCTGCAATGGGCTTGTTGAGGCAGGCCATACAATCACAGCAGTGTGATGTAACAGTTGTGACCCTTTTCAGGATAAAGGGTGAGACTTTGGCAGAGGACGCCCTCTCAGGAAGCAGTGAACTTGTATGAACACTGTATCCTTAGCATTTTCTGCCCAGTTTCCTTGGAAATAAACTAATTGGAAGAGTCTAAAAGTACCACCGTTTGCCTACATGTTCCAGTGAGTGTCGGGACCCACACACTCATTCCTCTTTCCATTTTGCCCGAGGGGACAATTGCCACCCAATGGCATCAACCGCAGGCAGAACGTGGATGGAAGGCAGCCACTTGGAAAGCCAGTCTCACAAGCTGCCAGGCTCACATAACCATTTTTCTAACCTCAAAGTAAGACAACCAACAGAGCTTTGGGGATGATTGAAAATTCATGAATCTCATGACTCTAGTTTGTCTACATCAGTACTGTTCTCTCCCCCCACATTTCTTCTCCAACGTATTGTCCTGACTGTGGCATGACAGATCACAAAGTTCCATCTCCTAAGATGAAGAGCAGCTTTAGAAATAAAATTAAGCATCTACTAAAAGAATAGGTATTCATAGAACATTTTAATGTAACATTCAAAGGGAAAATTAAATAGGTAGGAAATCTGGTATAGTTTAATATTATAAACACCTTGGACCTCCTCTCCCCGTAAATAATATCAGTGCATCAAGCATTTATATCAACCTGCCTGTTAGAGATGAGCAATGGAGTTCGCAGTAACTCAGGTTAGGTAGCTTGCTTAAGCTTTTGGGGAGTGAAAATCTTATGTAGCATAACTTCTTATCCCTCCACATGAAACCAAGAAACTGAGGTGTGACATACAATTTTGAGAGATACTTCTCAGAACAGTCAGGAAAAGGATGTGATCTTCAATGTCACAGATATTTGTATCACTCTAAACGCAATGGGAGAAGTTCTTTATGTTTGATTCAACTGCATGGATTTAAACAGACGCTAAAATATAGAAGACCCAGACTTCCAGCCCAACCTTCTTATGCTCTATAGTGTTCTCGTGGTTGAGCATGAGTCAGTCACTCTTAACTTCGCAAATACACTATGTTTTGTGTTTTAATACACAGATTATACTGCCTGATGCACTGTACCTGGTGACAGTTAAAATGAATGAATACCACACATCACAAACTTCTCTGAGAACTGGGGACATGATAAATTAAAAGGACAAAGTCTGTTCCTGTCCTCGGAGAGCTTATATTGCTGGAGAGAAAACAAATAATAAATGCCCAAGTAAATTATGAAGTAAGTAAATATTTGAAAGAAATCCAGTGCAGAAATGTGATTGAGAGTAATTGAGCAGGGGAGGAACTCACGTCTACATTGGAATGTTTCAGGGTACTCTCTAGTGTGGATATAGTTTGAATGACAGGCTGAATTAGCACCCTTTATAGGGACCTAAGGAAGGAAAGAAAACAGAGAAAAGAAACGCACTAGCCTGTTTCTGAAACTGGGAAATGTTCTCCTGTGCTGATAATATGGCCAGAGTGGCTGGGATGTGAGTGGACCAGGGAGGAGCTGAGGGAGAAATGTGGGGCTCCTGTGGCATCTAATAGAGGTTAGCTGTTGCTTTTCATGTTTTAGAAGGGAAAGTCTTTGGATAGGACAGGCATCGTCATGCTCAGGCAGCTCAGCAGTACCTGATATGAAGAAGGTGAGGGTGAGTGGCTATAGGATTCTAAGTGCTAGGAGGTTCAATTAGATGGTGGGCTGTAACAGTTATGGGGGAGACCAGCAGGGGAGGGATGTTTCAGTGGAACACTTAATCATGAACTGAACAACTAGAAGCTGATGGTCTGCTGGGCAGTGGTAGCTCTGAGCTTTAATCCCAGCACTCAGGAGGTAGAGGCTGGTTGGTCTTCATGTTCGAGGCCAGCCTGGTCTACAGAGCGAGTTCCAGGAAAGCCAGGACTACACAGAGAAACCCTGTCTTGAAAAACCAACAATAAATGAATAAATAAATAAATAAATAAATAAATAAATAAATAAATAAATAGTTGATGATCTAATGGAAAAGGCCTAAAAGTGGGGGGCAGGGTTGGCAGGAGATCAGTGGAGGGAGAGGAGCATTATGCTTGTTTGGGCCCTGATAAGTGCAAGGTTGATATGATTATATGTAAACAAATGAGGGAACTATTTACGAAGTGGAGCTTAGAGAATAGAGTTGGGCTGCAAAAACACACAACCCTGAGAGCCTAAGTCTATAGGTTGTATGGAAAGCTAGAAACTGAATGAGACTCTTGTGGGGATGTGACCTACACAGAGGAGGGAAAGGAAATGGGAAAAGGAAGTGAGCACTAATGGTGGATACAGGATGCAGAAGACTGCAGGACTGAGGGAGGCCAATGAAGAAAAGGAAAAATGCATAGAATAAGAGCACTGAAGAGCAAAGAGTGAAATGTATCCGAAGGCAGGGATTGATCTGTCCTGTCAAACCTGCTGAAGATCCAATTAAACGAAAAGAAGTAATTGTCCATTTAGAAAGCAATATGCCCTGGATCACTAAGGCAATCCCAGGCAAAGAGAATAAATCTTTGACAAAGACATCAAGAACGCATGAAGGGAAAAGGCGGGTACTTTCAATAAAAGTTATTGTGGCACCTGAACACCCAGAAGAATAAAATTAGAACCTTACCTTACACTACATAGAAAAAGCAAAACAAAATTAACCCAGGACTTAAATGTGGGACCTGGAAGTACAAAACTGTTAGAGTAAAACATACACTGAAAATGTCTATGATGTTGGTCTGAGCAATATTTGCTTTTCAGATATAACTGCTGTGGGATGTTCTGTATGCTGTGAAAATGTGTTGCTCTGATTGGTTGATAAATAAAATGCTGATTGGCCAGTAGCCAGGTAGGAAGTATAGGTGGGATAAGCAGAGAAGGAGAATTCTGGGAAGAGGAAGGCTGAGTCAGGAGACGCCAGCCCTCTGTCCAGGGAGCAGCATGTAATGGCACACAGGTAAAGCCACGGAACACATAGTGACATACAGATTAACAGAAATGGGCTGAGTTTAAGTGTAAGAGCTAGTCAGTGGTAGGCCTGAGCTAATGACTGAGCAGTTTTAATTAATATAAGCTCTGTGTGTTTACTTGGGTCTGAGCAGCTACAGACCAGTTGGGACACAGGAAAACTTGCAACTACAGGTAACTTCAAAAGCACAGGCCACAAAAGCAAAGATTAAAAAAATAGATGATAGCAAACTCAAAAAAACTGTGTGGCAGAACATAATCAAAGGAGAAAAAACTGATGGAGTAAGCTAATATTATCCCAAAAAAGGTGATTCTAATAAGTAAAAGGGCTAATAATAGTAAATGGCTGATATCCAAAATACTTAAGGAGCCTAAACAACTCAAAAGCAAGAAAGCAATTAGCCAAATTTAAGATAGACAACTTACGAGAATAGAGATTTATCAAGAGAGGATGTAGACATGGCTAACAGGGATATGAAAAATGCTCAGAATCCTTAATTATTCATGTGATATAAGTCGAAACAGCACGAGGTATCATCTCTGTTGAAGTTATTATCAGAAGCAAGTGTTGAAAGGTGTTGGCATGTGGAGGAAAGGGAATGCTTGGCTACTGTCACTGGGGATGTAAATGGTTCCAGACATATGGAAAACAGTGTGCAGGAACGTCAGACACAAAAACTGAACTACTGTTTGATCTAGCAACCCCAATGTAAGGATACATTCAAAGGGAATGATGTTCATATGTTGAGGAAAACTCTGTGCTCATGTGTTCACCGTAGCTTTATTGACAATAGCCAAGAAATAGATCTAATCTAAGTGTCCATCAGTGGGCAAACAGATAAAGAAAATATATGGTACATATAAATGAAAGGACGCTCTTCAGCATAAAAAGAATGTAATCATTTTTTTACAATATAGATGGACCTCTAGAATATTGTATCTTTGAGGGAGGAAGCTAGGCACAAAAAAGAAGAGTATGATCTCATTAACATGCATGATATGAAGAACTGAGGGGAGGATAACAGTAGTTACCAGGCACTAAAGTGGAGAAGCAAATAATGTTTGTCAAGGGAGACAAAATTTAGGTTAGAAGAATGAATTCAAGAGATCTGTTATACAACAATACAACATGGTGATTATAGTTAATGATGTATCCTATTCTTAAAAATGTCTAAGAGAATAAATTTTAAGTTTTATTTCACAAAAAAATGCACAAGGAAATTCACGTACTAATTGATCCGATACAGCAATTTTAGAAATATGCTTATTTTAAAATATCAATATGTACAAGACAAATTCAGTCAATTTTGTCAATTAAAATTAGAAGAGTAAGTATAGTGGATAGAGCATAAATTGAAATCATAGTAGATGGATTCAAATCTAGGCTCCTTTCTGTAACTGTTTTATCTGAAGGAACGTATCCACTATCTCCAGACAGTAGTTTTCTTCATCTACATTCGGGATATTATCTACAAAAGGTTAATTTAAGGATGAAATGAGGTTATATGTAGAACATATTTAGAACATTGTTGGTCCTATAGTAGACATTTTTTAAATTATCTGTTATCATTTTGACAATGGTAATCGTCAAGTACTGACTACTT